TTTGTTTTAAGGGAGCTGGGGAGGGGGAGGAGGGTCGTGAACTTTGTATGGTGACGCAAGTTTACAGCTTTGAATGACGACTCTTTTATGCAAACGGCTGTTATCCTCTTTAGCCGCAGAGGAGTATATAGGTCTCACATAATCATACATTATTCACGGTCCACGGGCTGTAAATACTCTGTACCACTGTTGAAAACATGCATGTGATCCTCTTGCACACTTGCTGAAGTCTATATTTTAACTTGTTTCACCTATCGGTAATACACAACCGAAGGCACTACTCCCCAGCTCTACCAGTTTCGATTTGGATAAGCATCATACTGGTGTAGCACTATGTGCGATACACGTTAAAGAACTCAGTCCATACACCACTCCGTTGGGTGTAGCACGATTGCCCCACGTGAAGAAGCCCCATCGCAAAAGTCCCGCGTCATTAGCTCCACTTTTCGAAAACCATGCGTTCAGTTACCCCGTCCCGTATGCCGCCTGTGCCAAAAGCCCCGTCCTCACTGCCTCTGTCCCACCCTCTTCGCGCTTCAACCAGCATTGTTCTATGTCTACCTAATCCGTTGAGAGTCTAGAGGCTATTTTAAGTGAAAGAAACAACAAAATAAGTTTAACACTAACTGCAGTTATAGACTTTATCTATCTAGATGGATACAAACATTTTAGAACGACGTAAAAATAAAATTGGTGTTTGATGCTGCACATGTAATAAGTATGACACCGTGAGCTGTGGGTTAACAGTTTTGACAGAACCGCCTGAACTGAGAATCCACGCGTGCTGGAGTCAACGAAAGCTTTGGTTCTGTAGTGATCAGCCGGCGCGAGAACAAAAGGAAGAAAACAAGCAGCACGAGACAGCTTTGGAAACGCATTTGTCCCAACTTCGCCACTTGGCCGCTTAACGCTTTTTAGATGTATATATGTATATATTAAATATTTATTTAGTCCGCACGCTACATATTGGTGACCTGGATGTGATCTGAACGCGCAATGCTTATTGATAAAAACTGCAACTTTAAATGTTTTGCCAGTGAGGGACATTTTCTGTTTGTTCTCACTTCTAACGTCACAAGATGTGAATATGTATAGTGTACGCCTGAAGAATGGCAAGCTTTATCCAATTATTCCTTAATTGAGTCCCAGGTATGGCATGATTGTTACACAAGCTCTCGTGCTAAGATGTACCGCAGAAGACACTACAAGCCATCGAAGCCAAGCAAATGCCTTGCTAGTATCATGTAACCTTCGGGAAAGGTGCAGCGACCACTGATCTCTATTGTAGTAGGCTGGATCGTGGCCATTGATTGACACCAGCCAATGCATGGCACTCTATGTGAAGAAGGAGAAAAAGTGCCATTTCCCCTGTTTCTAAGTTGTTGTCGGCACTGAAACTTTTTGGCTGCTTTTCGATAAGCCCATCAAAAAGCTTAAGTACAAACATTAAAACTGACAACCCTTGCAGTTCTTAAAAATAAATATTTTGTGGTCAAGAGTGAATCCGCTGGCCGAAAAATATGGTGCAGATCAATGAGGCTAAAGTTACCTAGAGTTACCGCGGTGTCGGCAGCGGTTTCGTTGAGGTTGGTTTAGCAAACAACAAGCTCAAAGGCTTTGCTACGCGGAATTTGCTCACTCCCGGAAAGCCGCTGTCGAGTTGGAACTTCTTTGTCATTCATCGACTTCTGGGCTTTCCCGAGGATGGTCTCATTGACGGCAAGTTCCTTTGTTTACTCCACTACGAGAGCAAGCTTGCCAGCTTAGCCCTGGGTGCTCCGGTACATATTACTTTTTTAACCGGCGACCAAACCTTTGACAAATACCGACTCAATCTCCAAACACCCGACATAAGAATTGCAGCACACCATAAAATACTCGTCTCCGAGCACAGCGTACATGCTTCAATATTCTTCCTTTTGTGCATTTCTCCCATAGACCTGAGAGTATACATGCCTTGCACCTACGTCACATGATGATGTCGAACACTGGTATACACTATCCTGGTGGTTGACTCGGCAACCCTTCGCAGCGACAGCAATGGTAAACTGCGCCGCGCTCGGCTGTAGCAATTACTACCTATCCCGACGATCAACCAAGCATTTCGTCGGCATGCCCCACGAGACAAAGTAGCCGTCAAGTTAGAGAAACTACGAGCGGCAGAAAAGGAATGTGGCCGCAAATTACCGAGTTTGCGAGACGCATTTCATAGCACTGAGCGACGGAACTTTTCTACCATTGTTTACGTTCGCGCACGCCTTTGCATCGGCTTTTGCCCGTTCATTGCGTAGATTGCCTTTGCCTTTCGTTACATAGCGCCGTTTCCGCGCTCCGAGCCCACATTCGGGGCTCCCGGCCAAGTACGGGCGATTGCCGTGCAGCGAGCCCGGCCAGACGGCGATCGGTCGGCGGTGGCCCCCGTGTGCAACTCGCCGAGACGACGACGACGCCGGGGCATCGGTTTGCGCCGTCCACGAAAGTATGCAGGCGAGCCGGTTAGGAAGCATCATAATATAAACCCTAAGAGAATGAGAGTTGTCTTGTTCGTTATTTGATTTACCCTTGTCTCAGCGTATTTCAGAAACTCGTAAAAAATTTTCTACAAGCGACTCCCACAGCCGCTCGTCAAATTTTAAAACGCGCAATTTAGCTTTTCTTTTTTTTTTTTTTTTTTTTCTTTTGCAACACGACAGCTTTTTGCGCTAAAACTTCATCGGCGGCGTATCGAAAGTTTCTGCTCGTAGTGCAATCGCACCAATGCCGAAATATTCCGTACGTACTGGCTAAATGTCATCATCGGAAGCTCGGCGCGTTCTTCCAAGTTCACATGTAACACAACTAGGTACCTTTGTTGAAAATATGGTGCACGTCTGCGCATGTACGGGCAGTTAGCAGCGTCCTACGCCTTGGTAAGCGCATCCGCACGGTGTCAAGTCAACCGCCAGTATGGTGCGGGGCCCCGTCCTTCCCCTAGCGTGACGTCACTTGCAAGGAATGTATAGACCATTTCAATTAGCGCTCTCTGGGCGGCACCATTTTGTTCGACCGCAGTGCCCTCTCCACACATCCGGGAAGTTCAGTGGGTTCGGCGAGGTAAAACGTGAGAAAGGACACTCGCCCGACTCCGCTAGCAGACGACAAACCGGGAGGTTGCCGTTCTCCATCTTTGGGCTGTATCAGCGGGCTCTACCAAACATCGAACTCTCGCTCGTGGATGCCGGTGTGAAGTGGTTCGCGTTCTTAGAATAGTTGTGGCTACTCCAAAATCAGCCTATAGCTCTCTGTAGTTCTATTTTGCTAAATGATCAACCAGAATATATTTTTTCCGTACTTAAATATCGGTTGAGTCAGCCGGCAGTACTACCCTCAACTACTGCTTGTATTGCGGAAGGAGAGCACGTTTTAATTATTGTTTGAGACTTCTATTCATGGTCACTGAAGGCCTACACCAGTACAAACTTTTGTATAGTAAAAAAGGTACAGCAACCGGATTTACTTTTCGCCAAAGACCGGCCAATCTGACACAGTTTTCCCTATTTTTTTTTATTTGCACGCAGGTAACAGCGCAATTGGACCCCGTGAGTCTTTTTATCTAGCATAATATTACACGAAAACTGGCATACCAAATTCTGCGCATCTGCGCTTGCAAGTTCCAAAATGACGCAATTTTAAACAGAGTTTGCACGCCAGCCGGACGCTAGCTAAAGCCAACTCGGTGGAGCGGACGACATGCGGGGTGAGAGGGGGAGTGCATTTTTTTTCTCCTTTACCCTCTCTGCTATGACCCTGATGGAACGGTCTATTGCCTGGCGTCAAGCAATGGCCGCCGGTGGCGACATCAACGGGCGCCCGATCCACGATCCAGCCTACTACAATATAGATAGGGTTGTTCGTTTTCGAGTAAAACCCGGTTTTACCCGATTTTTACACCCCGAACATGTTTCAGGTGAATCGGGTTAAACCCGATTTCTCCCTCAATTCCAAAACCACATAACCAACCTATCTATTTTTACTTCGCACGGAATTTGCAGTGCACACACGCTAGCCACCCCACATCGGGACAACAGTGACCTATAGTTCATTTCGCAAGCTGCGTGCAGCACTGTGGACGCTACATGGAGGCTTCTACGGAGGCCGGCTGAGGAAAAGCGACAAGAGGCGCTGGGGCCTTGGAGGGACATTTCCGTCCCCACCGCTGTGCAGGTGGAACCGCCTCGGCATGCCACGTAGCTTCGGCCCTGCTGCACGCAGCTTGTGAAATGCACTATAAATCCCCCTTCGATCGTTGAGGTGTCGACGCCCAGCAGTCTCTCGGGTAGCATGGCCATCGCGCCGGTGTCCCTCGAACGGTAAGGTTTTTTGTTGACACCTGAGGGAGAGGAGGATTGCGTGCGCGGTGCTTCCCTTGAAGCGACCGACGGCGATCGGACTGCTGGAAATCCCTGACCCCTAATTTAAATGACAGACCCCTAATTTAAATATGTTAACGTTAAGGAGCTCCTGATACGCTCCAATACAAAAAAAAAAAAAAAAAGAACAGAAAACGACTGTATTACTGAGTACATTTGTAAATTTAACCCGAAAAAACCCGAATTTCGGAATGTTTCCACAAAACACCCGATCTCTCCCCGATTATCAGCGTGAAAAATAACACCCAATTTTTACCCCCCAAATTTACAAAAATATAAAACCCGAAAACGAACAACCCTAAATATAGACCAGTGGCAACGACGCGTGGGGCACGTAGTCACGTGATTTGTTCACAACGCTGGATTGGCTGGGATGGCTCGTAGCGTCAGCTGCGGTCCATCATAAAGGCAAGCGTAGCAGCAAAGATATCACGCAGTGCGGCACCACACACGTTTACCGTGCCACTGTTCTTTGTGAGGCGTTGTGGATCTTCAGGGTAGATAAACAGCTAACATGTCCGCTACCACTGCTACTTCACAGCGGCAAGGAACTCGTCGGGGCTGCTACATCAGGAAGTCACGTTCACTTGCCTTTCTCTGTTTTTTCATGCTCGGCGACCTTTTGGTAGCCAAAACTGGTGTAATGGTCTCTTAACGCTTCGGCTGTCGATGACGTCTGATGCGGTCCAGTGCTGACCAACCTCGCGTGAGACGAAAAAAAAGATTTCAAAACTTTTGAAAGAACAGAGTTTACGCGGACGGAAGCGGCCATCTTCAATTGACTGCAATGTTGGCAGCCTGTCCCATGAAGTCCACCAAATACCGTGGAAGCCAATACTGGCAACTCCCGCGGAAAACGGGCGAAAAGTGATTGCAGCGCCCCTGGCGAGCTCGGAGTCTCCGCTGGCAGACAAATTCTCCAAAATGCATTGGTTTTGCCTATCTCCGTGCGAGGTGACCAACGAAAAAAAAAAATTCTCACGGACATTCGCTGCTTTGAAAGTTAAAAAATGGCTGCCAGCTCATCAGTGAAGGACATTCTCTTCGCGTGGGAAAGATGTTACAGCTTTCTGGGTGCAATTTCGGAGTTCTCCCGAAGAAAATATTCTGTCACAACCTATGTAAGCCAAGCCAAACACGAATGTATGCCTTCGCGCTGTTTCGTGAAAAAGGGAAATGTACAAACATTTCAGAACATAGCTTCGTTTCAACTTTATTGTTCTTATCAGTCAATTCGTTTTGTCGTTGCAATTCCCATTTCTCACTCGAGTGTCTTGCTTATAACCGTTTCGTCGAACAGGCGAGCTGGCTAATCCCGTTAAGATCGTCTCCGGATGAAGAAGCAGAAGTCAATTTCGAACCATGTACGTTACGGCGATGTCAGTATGATCCGAAAGAAGTCGTTGCGCATATGCAAATCTGACGCGATTATAGATTAACAAAAGCGGAGTTACGAAAAAAGCAGACTTCTCGCGCTTGCAAAGAAAGAAGGGGAGAGCGTCGTAGCCCCGCGAAAAAAGATGATTTCAGTCACGTTATTTACAGTGCACAAATTCCGATTGTTAGCGCGGGGACGACCAACATCTGCTTCGCTGCTTCTTTACTTCTACGATAAAGGCCGACACCCGTTGAACCGTCTCCACTCTTTCCATTTTTGAGTATTCTTTCTTTTATATTTTTGAGGCGACGCCACTCTGCCGCGTTATTTCTTCCTCCTGCTTATATGTTGCTGTGTAAATTTTTAGTTCGCTTTTCATTTTTTTTTTTTTTTGCCCGACGTGTAAACAATCGGGTATCCTTGCTTTGCTTGGCTTAGTTTTTACTCCCTTTCCTTCGCTTCGGCGCTTACTACCCCGGTTCGTCTGCGCTAGGCCCGGGCATTTTGAGGGCCGTCTGCAACTTTGCTGTTGTTGTTGTTGTTTTCTTCCACTGTCGTCTGCGATAACCTCCTATTTTCGCCTTCGATTGAGTTTCTAATCCAAAATCGTCATACGCGCTTTTTGATATTTATTAAATATATTAAGAAGTGTAAGCTCGTTACCCATTTTTATTCGAATTTTATTTGTGTACTCCGGCCGGCACGTCTGCTACGGGTCATCGTTTGTTCCCAGACAACACACAGACATCCGCTGGACATCCAAAGGATGTCCCGACTGGGACATTAGGGACGTCCTGCGGATGTCCGAATAATGTCCAGAAGACATCCAAAGTGAAACACCAAAGGACGTCCTCAGGATGTCCAGGAAAGGATGTTTCCTGGACTTTATTAGGACATATATAGGACATTGTATATTTTCATACTGGTGTACTAATTTACACTACAGTGGGATAAGACCACACAAGTCTCGAAACAAATAAAGCTTTATTATTTCAATGTAAAAAGCAAAGACAGAGAAATAACATATGAGGTGGCATCAATAAGTATCTGGACAGCCACCACTGAACAAAAAGAAAATGCAGCACCACAGTGCGACACACCTGACCCTTCCTAGCAGGCTTGCCAGTCACTGTGTGGTGACAAAATAAATTCCGAGCTATGCTTGTTTGTTTAAAAGGTATTTCACAACTTTCTGACCGCATAAGGCAAATAAAAAGCTCAAACAGCACGTTTACATCAAATTTCCTGTGAGAATTGGGAAGAACATGTCAAAATACCACACACTCCTCACCAAGCATTTGGTGACCATGATTTAGTAAAAACATGTATAAGTGAGTGGCATGGACATTTTAGGCAAGGCCAAGAATTCCTTGGAGACGATGAAGAGAATGCCCTCCGAGAAACATAACATTTCAGAATGCCGAAAAAAAATCTATGTTATTTCACGAAGACCGTCGGAAGCGCATTTCGGATATTGCTGAACCATAAATAATGTCGAGTTGTTCAGCAATGTCCGAAATCGTTCTCAGAAAGTGTTACTGAATTAACGAGGATTTTTTCTGCATTTTTAAATGTTAGGTTTGTTGGAGGGCATCCTCTTGATTCATTGTTTTCAAGCCATTCTCAGCCTCACTTAAAATGTCCATGCCACTCACAGATTTGTGTAACCTAGATCAGTCACCGAATGCTTGCTGACGGAGTTTCTAATGTGTTCTTCTCAATTTTCACAGAAAATGATGTATGGACGTGGTTTGAGTTTTTCATTTGTGTTTCACGGTGAGAAAGTTGTAAAATCCCTTCTGAACAAACAAGCACAGCTAGAGATCACTCTCGCCCTGCACAGTAAATTTCGGCACAGACTGCAAGCTTGTCAGGAAGTGTCACACTGCTGTACTTGTTTTGTTTTTGTTCAGGGATGCCAGTTCAGAAACGTTTTGATGCCCCCTCATATTATCACAGTATTTCACTAGAATGCTTACTTCTGCATATCACTCAAACATTTCCTTTGAAGTGCAGAAACATAGAATATGTTATCACAGTATTGCACTAGAGTTGTTAATTATAAAAAAAATAACACATTATCTAAAACTGAAATACAGTTATGGCAAGGCATAGAAGCAGTACATGCCAAGTACTAAAAATGCAAGTTGCAGGACAGTAATGCCAGTAAAAATGACTAACCCCCTTTCAGCTTAGGGGCCAACAGTGTATAATGATTGTATGCAAGTCGTGCAAAAGAATTACTTTGGCAAAATCTAGAAAAAATATTGCCATGTGACCAAGGTCAGCAAGACCAGACATCTACATTAAATAATGCACAAAGTCTACAATAGCAGCCGAGCACTGAATAGCTAAATTTATACTAAAAGCAAGTGACATCAGTGACTCTGAACTTGCTTAATACAGGAAAAAATGCATGAACTGCATAGAAAAGAGTAGTGTAAACAAGTGTGACAAATACATCTTGTATAAAGTATCACAAAACTGAAATGCCAGAATGGCTGTTAGAATATTGAATCGATAGTGAATTGCCAAAAAAATATTGGTGCACATCTTACATACAGGGCACTTCAAAGGAACTGTATAAATTGTTGTCTTAATGTACTGTGCTACAATTTACGACACTGGTATCCGTAGGTGGTGAAATTTTCCATCCAAATTTCAATGAATGGCTTTACCTGAGAAGAAAGTAAAAAATAGGAATGTCTTCTTATCTGCAGCATTCGCCTAACGTCACAAGTCTGACTGGTGAAACAGCCGACATACGGCCCCCTCGGTCAAAGCAGACGGTCTTTTCCAAACCAAAAATGCTATGCGAGTATTTTATTTGTGAACTGCTGCTGCAGTTTATCAGCTGTTGCAACAATCAGATGTGTGCCATAAGCAAGCAAACACCATATGTAGAGAAAAGCATTCAGACTTTTAAACTTTTACTCAATTAAGTTGTTTCTTTGAAAATGTAACTCTCCAGATACATTACCACACTCCCTGCGGGCACCGCCGTTGCAAATTGTAGTGCAAAACGTTAAGAAACAGACTTGCATAGTTCCTTTCAAAGGGCTGCCCTGTTGAAGTGATTTCTTAGTCTAGTGTAAATGGTGTGCCGTCCTTCCTTCCCATGGACTTTTTTTCTGCCGCTGCCCGCTCAGCAGCATGACGGAGCCACGACATGCCTGCTTTTTCTATGTCCTTCTTAGTTGCCTTGGCTTCTTCCAAGTTTTGACGGTAGGTGAGGGTGCCTGCATATAAAAAAGTTGTTGTCAAGTTCAGCAAGATATTTTAGACTGGCAGAAAAAATGTGAGCTGCATTATGCAGTCAAGCTAACTGCCATATCAACAACTTCAGGCGAAGTATGCATAAGCAGGAACCAATTTCATTATTCTTGCAAACAAACCAAATGAGAAACACAACCCTTGAAGCAAATTTGTTTTGATGTGCCTGCGTCACTCTACAGCAGTAGCAATCAGTTCATTGAATGCTATTTCATTGACAGATCCTTCGACAGCCTCTTCTTCGCGACATAGCCTTGCATGTACTTCTTTGGTGGCCTGGATGTTGTTGGCATGTAATAAAGCGGAGCCTCTTTGCCGACATTCTGTTTCCGCCATCCCCATTACTATCCTAGCCGGCTAAGCCTTTGGCGATTCCAAACAGGCTTACCAAAGGCGGGAGCCGGAGGGGATGTTAAACTCCCAAGCGGAGTGAAGCAAGGGATGACAGTGCGCAACGCGGTCTGTTAGAAAGCCTAGCTTGCCGGAATCAGCAAAATAAAGCCAAAAGTCCAATGCAATCCACCTAGCGAAATAGTAAGTGACTAGCTCAAGATGCTAGTAACTGGTACTACTCTCATGAACAGAAACTAGTTGCAAGCACTACTTCTAAATAAAAACTGGTGCTCAAAGTAGCCAGAACAGCTAGATGATGCAGCGGCATGTGCTTTGTGTAAGCAGTGCCAATGAAATGTGTGTCAATAAAAAGTTGTCAGTGAAACGTGCATCTATGAAATGATACAAAACCCTTCTACAGGTAGCCATCACATTCCCGGGCATTATGTGGAAAAGCCGATCCACGGTACCTGAAGGCTACGTCTCATGGATCTAGGACCGTTACTGTGTACCATTTTAAAGAAATAAGAACATGTCTTTTTTTCTTCGGTGGTTGGTGGCGGGACAAGTGCAGGTGCCTGTTATAAACTGCTCTGCTGTATAAGAACATCAATGTAACACTGGGAAAAAAAAGTGACTTACACACTGGAAAATATGCTCTAATTATTTCATTTGTTACACTCTTATATCAAGTTATATACCAAATTTTCCAAAAAGGTTTTGCACTATTCTTTTATATTAGACTTCAGTACATACTAAGAATTGCACTTGTGCAGGTTCAGATATCTAACTTACTGCACAGGAGCTTGCAGATGTTGAGATCAGAAAACTTGTGTTTTCCCTTGGCGC